GACTGCTGTAGCTGAACCCAGGACAACCCCTCTTCTAAATCTCCATCTCCTGAAAAGTGCAGCTTCTGTACAGAGTATCATTACACACAAACTGGGAATTCACAATTTCTCTGCCAGTTCTGAATACCACCAAGAAACACTGAATCCACGTTTCCCCATCACCGATGTTGTCACTGGCAGCAGCTGCCTAATACCAAGATTTCTTCAGGATACTGAGTAACAGTGTTTCTCTGTTAGCAAAGTATTTCAGGCCTTACTCTTTCTTAGTATAAGAAATACCACCTAGCACTGCATGTAATTCTCATGTACAAAGGCCATTATTTAAAAGAACAGTGTCAGAAAACTGATGCTGTCCTTCACGCACAGCATTCAAATTATAGGTTTCCTAGACCAGTTAGCAGTGGCTGCCAACCAGGCAATTTTAGGTATATCACCGTCAGTGGTGCAGTTAAGAGCTAGAAAACCCTAGCCAGTTGGTGTGCTAATCTAATTAGGATATTACACTTTTTAAGAGGTAAAGTCGATACAGCTAACTAGACATCTTTACTCCTCTCCTCTAAAGCTGATAAAATTAGATCTGGTCAAAAGCGTGGATAACTGGAACATAATCTACTACTCTTTATTTCACATTGGCTGGAAATAGATTGTGCTTAGTCCACTGGAAAAGATCAACACATTTCAAATACAGGATTATTGGCCAGTATCTTTTACTATTTTGGACATTCTTACCTGGACCTTGCAAAAGAGATCTTCAAATGAGCAGTAGTCAATTCTCATGCAAGGTCCTAAAATACATCACTTTATAAGACCAGGCATTCATCCATCACTTCAGTATGGGAATTGCTGCAGTTTTAACTATATGCACAGAGTGCTTTACTAACCCTGCACAAACAGCAGGGTAGTACTCACTGGCAGTTTGTCACTTAGAAGTCCAAGGAGGGGAGAAGACAGGGAGTACGAGAGTGCCAAACCGAGGAATACCAAGCCCACATAACCAGCTGGGAGTTTGAACTATGGAAAGGAAGACAAATAAAACAAACCCCAAAACATCAAACCATATATGCTACATTCATTAAAACACAATCCAAGAATTGCATTTTAGGTCAAAATACTGAAATGCATGATTGTAAGTATTTTACTGATATCATACAGAGGTTTTTCAAGTATTTGAAGTCATCAGCAGAGCTCATTTGCTTCCACTTCTAAGCATGGAGTGAAAAACACCTGACACACGCAAAGCCTAAATGACATCAGAAGGAAACACTACGCTATGTCCCTATATCAGCACATTGAATTCTAATATTAACATCTGGCACATTTGAAATAGACACTTCAGACACTGAAATTTAGATGGATTTAGTCTTTACCCCTCCAATCTTCAGTTTTATTTCCACTTAGAAAAGCATAAATACTGTAACCATCTACTCCTGATCAGTGCATCTTAAAAGCAAGCAGTGTAAGACACCACTGTGGCTTTTCAACCAAAGGAGGATTTTTATGAGAATGAATAACAGGTTTTTTTGCACACACCCCAAGGTCTACATTTTCCTAATGCAGAGTAACATTTCTGTACTGAAACAAAATGTGTAATGAACCAAAAGCTAGCCTCTCAAATGAGTTCTTTAACTACCAGCTGGAAGGTATTTGAAGGTGTTTCATGTGGCATGGACTACATAAATATTCACTACTTCCTTGCCATATGCAAGCACATGATAATAACTCTAATTTAGTGGTTAGAACACCTGCCAAAAAGGCTACAGCCCTTCCACAGCAAGTATCTGTCAGCACAGTGCATAGGGAAAGCAGAAGAGCCACACAATTGCATGATATTCTACAGTGGCATAATTATAGATCCCTCCTGAGTGATGGAAGACGTACATTCGCATCTCCACTGACGGAAAAGGCTAGCACCAAGTCTCCTCCACCCAGTACTCTAAGTACTGGACTAGACAGACAAAAAGAAGGAGCACAATCACCTGTGAAATGCCATTCCCTGGAAAAACAAGTAACAAATAAACCACTCAAAAAGCACTGGTTAATTTCACACAGGAACAGAATTTTAAACTGTTTACTTCAAATTCAGTACCTCAAACACCATTGGGAAAACAAATAAATAGAATCAAGTAGAAAGCAAGTATATAAATATTAAAATAAATTAAAATTTAAGAAATAAAATGGCATTTTATTTTTCCACTTTTTAATAAGTGTGTGAAGAAGTCAGCTGGCAGGCTACATAGTTGCAATTGATTTAATTTTAGCATACCTGCCAGACAAGGCAGAACTGTGACATCACGTCCCCAGTGGAGAATGTCCATATCAGGAGATAGAACACTGTCAGTGACTGTTGCAGTTTTACAGAATTTGATTTCAGAAAGGAGGAAAGAAGTCCCTTATTTGCAAAACCAGCTGCTATTCCCAGTTCAGAGAAGGTTCTCTGCACTCAAAAGCCAATTAAGTGGAAAAAGCACATTTTTGAAGGCCTTACATTTCCTCATTCTCAAGGTTACCAAGACCCAGTGGCCACAGATGGTGTCAATGGAATTGTGATTTGTCACTACTGTGGAAATCAAGTTATTTGGAAATCATATTCTTAACAGTTAATTAAAGTGGGTAATTAGATGAGGCTTAATTTTGTTTAAGATATTTAAATCACATTTATAACCAGTTATTTACTATTTAGCAAGACCTCCCTGCATATTAACAGGGCTTACCTTCTTTAGGATAAATAGAGACATTGTGGGATCCAAAAAGCCCAAGCATGCGCTTAGAGAAAATATAGTAAGACAGAGTACTAAGACTTTTGGCAGAAGAATGAGCTTCCAAAAGGAGTCCTTGCTGGGGACCGAATCTGTTTCAAAAGAAATAGGAAATTGTATTATTTTAAGCAGCATAAGCTCATGACTTATCTTCTTGCTTTATAAAAGAAATCAGTATTTCTCTTTTTCTAGTCCTATTACTCATTACCTAACAAATAAAAGTCAAGAGCAGACTATTATGCATTATACTATTTTTTATATTAAAACCCCAAATTTGACAGGTAACTAAAATAAGAATAGTACATGGTCTAGATTCCAACACTGCAAATCCCCAAAGAAAAAAAAGCATGTACTATTCCAACTATGTGAAAATACGATTACTTCTCTGGTAGTCCTTATACAATGAAAAGCTCATCGATACGTTTCAACTTTAACACAACATGCACGCATGCATGAACCATTCATGTCCAGTCAGAAACACACTTTGAAAGGAAAATAAAAAAATTGCTATTTATCAGTTGAAATCTATCTAGTCATTTGGGTCTCCTACATGTTCAACTTGTGCTACAGACAGGAAGGTTCTTTCAGATGTCATGGTTAGATGTCATTTCTAAGTCAAGCTCCTTTCCTGATATGCTTGGTGCTTCAGTAGTTGAACGTGGTCTCAAAGTACAGATAGAACTAAAAGTTCACTCATTAGCATCCACCAGCTCAGAGCTAACATTTATTTAACAGTTTCAAATTGGCAAGTAATATCATATGATTGATATGATACATCATATCATATTTAGGATATGATTTATATAACCTTTAGATAAGCCCCTCATGTATTAACTTTAACATTCTTTCATGTTACTGAGATCCCGCATGAGTCAGTACAAATAAACCCCTATTGTTCTCCCTGTAATTCTGTTTTTTCCCCTACTCTTAACCACTCAAACGCGTTAAGTTCTCTTGTTTTAGGCAAAACCTATCTCCAGCTTTTCTTCAACTATCTGCATGACAAGCTGATACTAAGCAGACACAATTGATCCTTTACAAGCCCTGAAGATAAAGAGATGAAAGAAAACAAAAATACATCTCAGTTCACTTCCACAGAGATTTCTTAGTGTTTGCAGGGATGGGCATGAGGTGTTGGATTCATTCCAGGCCATTTGCATACATTAATTTAGCTTAGCATCATAAAACATGGGCCTGATCAAGATCACAAGTTAATTCAGCTGGAGCTTTGCCCTCGGAGTTGGATCAGACTCCAGAAGCGATTTTTTTAAAAGGACTGCTAAAAACATGAGGAGTTAAAAACGTGAGTGAAGGAGGCAGGAAGAAGGATGCTTACCGTATTTTGATAATATGCACATATTCACGGGCACCAAGACCAACACTATGCATCCCACCGTAATGAAAGGGACCTCATAACCAAATGATTGATATAAAAAGCCACCTAAAGGCGGGCCCAGTACCAGTCCAAGTCCTGTAAAAATTTCAAGGCTGCCCTAAAGGATAAAAAAGAAAGCAAGCAAGAAGTCCATATGCTGAGAAACTCTGAGGTAACGATAAAAAGCAAGCCATTTTTCTGAGGAGCAGCACAACATAGTCAGGCTAGTGAAAAGAAAAAGGCACTGCATGACTGAGGGGGATAACAGCTGGTAGTGACCTTCACAAAGTGGGATAGCATGACAGCCGACCCCTCTTTGCCTCACTACAGGGAACCACCTGTACTGCAGCATTACCCACTCCGTTGTCACCTAACAGATTCCAGTCCTGAGTCAAGACAAACACTTTAGTGACAGAAAGCATCTGAAGGACAACTCAGGCTGAAGTGATCATCTCTCCAACCTGCCGTTACACTCCAGCCTGACAGGAAGGACCCAAACAAGCCTATCTGGCAAGTTAAGGCTTTCTTTGCGTAACCAACGGTTTGGATTCACTGACTAGGGGTAGGAAATAACAGTGAAACTGCAATGGGGATAACTCAGGTTACCTATTTTGGCCATAATTTAATAATCTGGCATCTTTTATAAGATAGTGGTTTTTAAAAGTCCAATAATACAGTTACACTTAAATCTTGTGCTACAACACCACAGTCACCATTGGCAACATCTGCCACAACCCTTAATTAATCAATGTTTAGACCACTAGTAAAAGCTGGTGGTAGAAACTGCTTACGGTTGAAGTTTTGCTAACTTTTGGGATCCAGAAACCATAGTATAGCGATTCGTCCTCATCTTTAATTTTACTGATACAAGTCAGAGTGGTGAAATGGCCTGAGAGCAGGCACAGTCAGCAATAGCCAAGTTCTTTACCCTAGGTCAGCCTCAGGTAGCAGCCTTTTCCTTGCTTAGCAAAGGAAATAACAAGTAACAACATACGACTCCGAAGCCTTCAAAATTTCTAGATAGATTTTTGAGACATTTTAGTAAACTTCAACACATGGAATGCCCAGGAATTAACATAACTGCATCCAAATAATGCTTTTATTTCTGTTATTCACAAACCATAAAAAATATTATTAGTGAGACATCAGTTCAAAACAGGCTGCACATCATTTAGCCCTTTTAAGATAATGAATTATTGGGATGCAGGGGAACTGAGGCATTGCATTATTACAGGTCAGAGGAAAGTAAACCTGATATTGTTAAGAAAAGTGGTATTGTTTATCTTCTGTAATTCATACCTCCTGCAACATGTTGATCATGTTGACAGATGCTGAACTTCCCACTTCAGGACTGACATATCTACATTTAACAACTTCCCCATATATTCTCTAGGGTTACCAATGGGTAAAAGGTGGCCTGAAAACTGGTACCGAAAGGGTATGGAGAGAAAAAGTGCTCATCAGTATCTAGCGCTATCAAGAAAGGCAATAGAAAGCAAGGCTAAAAACTCCTCATCCATTCCTTCGGGGTTTATGATTTTACCCTAGGATGCACTTTGCTTGATCTAATCTAACAACTAAGAAAATTTCATCTGTTCAGTCTGGAGAAAAGAAGGCTGTGTGGAGACCTCATAGCAGCCTTCCAGTATCTGAAGTGGGCCTACAAGGAAGCAGGGGCGGGACTCTTCATCAGGGACTGTAGTGACAGGACAAGGGGTAATGGCTTCAAACTTTCAAACTTAAACAGAGGAGATTTAGGTTAGATATAAAGAAGAAATTTGTTACTGTGAAAGTGGAGAGGCACTGGAACAGGTTGCCCAAAGAAGTTGTGGATGCCCCATCCTGCATTCTCGATTAAAAACAAACATTACGTTACAATTTCAAATATACCTGCATGTAAGACAGCAGATTTTCTCCTCCTGGTTTTAGGCTTCCTACTGGCAATTTAACATATTGTGGGTAGTCGGCTCTAACACTGTTTTTTGAACTTACCAGGACAGTAGCTATATTATTGGGAAATGCCTTTGCAAGGATTGAAAATGATGCTGTCATTGCTGCTGCAAAACCTACTGCATCCATTGCTCTTACTAAAAAGCACAAACCAATGAACATTGGTCCACTTGGCACCTTGTCCAGCATTCTGAAAAGAAGAAAAAACCCCAAAACAATAAATGCAGATCTCTCAGGATGCAACAAGTCATCTCCTAAAGGCCCTGGAGCATCATTTCTTACTCATGAAAGGACACATCTATTGCCACATCTTTTTGAATCACATCAGTGAAGTAATTCAAACTCTACCAAACTATTTCTGGCAACTTTCTCCTTCCCCCTTTCTTTGATGGTGAAAATAGCACAAAAAACCTAACCTGTGAAAAACTCAAATGCCATCTTCTGCTGTATGTCACAGCTTTTCCAAGCAACTGTGCAAGGAGTCTGACGCAATGAGTTTCAACTACCTAAAAAGAGCTTCCTCATTGCTAATAAAACTTTTATTTTGCTAAATGAGTGGCTTAGCCTCTCTGCCTGCCAGGCAAGGCTTCTCATTTGCACTCAATATTTTTAAGAAAAGAGTAATGAAACATTATGCATAAGTAGTTCCCTTATTGCTGCACTTTGACAGACTTCTTACTGTTTATGAACTATATTAGTTATTTAAACACATAGAACCTTCCTCCTTTGCTTTCAAATTAGTTAACAAGCTTTGAAACCTACTAACATTTTGCTTTACATGGGGCAGAGAAAAAGTAAAGATGAAAAAAGTTAGGTGACATAACCAACACCCAAAAGATGCCCAAGAGATTCCAGTTTTGTTCTGTGTCCATCTTCTCGTATGGATGAAAATTATTAGAAGACAAACACAACAAAACCAACCGACAAAAATTACTCACCCAAACAGAATGGTCACACATCCTGAGACAAACATCCCTGCCAAAAACATGAATTTTGCTCCAATATACGTAAGCTGTAAATTAAATAACATTTTTACATGTTATTATTTCAAGACTAGATCAAAATTCTTTCAAAGTAAGCTACTATTAAGAAATCAAAACATTATGGGCACTTTATAGCGTATGTAACTAGAAGATATGGAGACATTGCTTCTGCCAGTGTGCCTTCAGGTAATACTGAACCTAAAAATACTCTGAAGGGTTAAGTGACTTAACCCAGTTTTCAGAGTCGTAAGACAATGGTATAGTTAACTGTTTCACAGCACGGTGCTGCAGCTTCTGCAGAGCAGCAGGTTACAGCAGCATTACTCATTATAAATAAAGTAATACATCCCCCCTCCAGCACCACCAGTAATGCCAAGTCAGCAATACCTGTCATGTATATAGCTAAGGAGAGTCAATGGAAGTCAATTTTAAAACAAATTTATCATAAACTTTAATAGCACAAAGCTTTGACAGAGGAAGGACGGTAGCTTCAGGCTTTCCCATTCATTACCATGGAAAGGACCTCACACCTTCCTTCCTTTCAGACTCCCTTGCCAGAGTGAAGGGCAACGAAAGGCATGCTGCAAAGCTAACTCGATCCCAAAACAAAGTATATCTGAGCTCCTAATTCCCTGCTGCAACTTCCCCTAAGGACAGCAGGTATTTCAGACTCTTCTTGTTCAGGCCTCGACAAAGTCCCCACATTCCAACCATTATTACAAAAGCCCATATTTTGCCAAGTTTCACTGAAACCCTCAGAGTTTCTGATTGCTGGACTGTCCACCTCTACTGGTGCTCACTTCACCTGTCTGCAGTAAGGGTGGCGTGCTCACTCTCTCTCCCCTGCAATGTACTTGGTGAGGGTTGTGCCATACTTGAATGCCATGAGGGGCACCAAGGCTGGACTTACCAATGGCACCTGTGTGATACCTTGATAAGCCACCTCACTATCAAAGAAAAACATTCACCATGGGATTAGCAAAGAAAGATCGTGACACTGCGCAGCAGCCACAACTTAGGCTGCGATCCTAGCCAAAAATGAACAGAAAGCAGTGCTCCAGCATATAAACAAACAAGCTGTTATATAATTTATTTGTAATTTCTCCATCATGAGAAACATCCTCAATGGGTGGAAAAACTGAAGCTGCAAGAACTGGAGACATTTATCTCATATTGCCATATAATGGAGTGGAAGGGGAAACTCAGTTAAGCAGCAGAGACTCATAATAATAGGAGGAAATGTTAAGAAAAAGGCAACATACCATAAAAGAAGAAGGGAGCAGCTAACTAAATAAAAACAAAACCAAAAAGAAAAACCAACAACAAATATAATAACAGAAAAGGAGAATTGACCAGCAGATTATTCCGAAGCAAACAGAACAGTTAAGCAGAGAAACAGAAGAGCTACATGTCCACCACCCCATGTCTCACTACCCTTGAGAACTGTAGAAGAGTAATTTTTAAGTGGTAATGACAAGACTTAGCTCAGATTCAGACTGACTAGCCAGGCTCCAGTCACTGCAGGCACAAGCCTGCAGGAGTGCTACTGAAGAGACATCTCTTTCCTCAGCCTTAGAGAAGTGTCTTCATGTACCAACCTGTGCCATCATAGAAATAAGTTACAGCCTCAATTATACTTACATAATTTCCTAAGATCAAAGCAGACAAGAAATTGACCAAAGCAAAACATCCAAAAATCAGGCCAACAATGGTGTTACTGGCACCCTTTTTTTCTGCCTGCAAAAAAGATCACAATGGTGTAAAAATGAAGACAAATTCTTGAGGTGAATAACATTCATGCCTTGTACATTTCACTTTTTTTAAATCTCTATTAGTGCAGTTACAAAGCAATTTCCTTTCTCAAAAGCAGTAGGAGCTCACAGTAATAACACAACAATTTAAAGATATCTTGCACTTCTATCTAAGCTATATGTAATCAAGGGAAAAGCTCATTCCTCAAAGAAGGGGTACACTGTGCTGTTTGCTGAACTACTGAATAGGTAACCAGACTTTTTACAGCTGGCTTCAGCTGGTGTGCAAAGGAGCTAGCTGCAAAGCCTTGATCCCTTGCATGGCGAGAGCGCAGTGAACAGAGGTACCTGTTATCTTCACTGTACCATGACTCTCCATAACAAGCACCAGGCAAATTTTTTACTTATCCAACTGGCAAAATACACGTACTTGGACACAAGCAATACATAGGAGGATTTGAAGCAGAAATAACCTTATCATTTCTTTGTTAACACTTGGGAACAACTTGGTCATGAGAGAAATGGACTCCTGCTGCAAAGGCACTGTGAGCATTGTTTTTCATCCTACATTTAGACATTATATTCACTCAACATAAGCAGAAATTATTTCCCCTCTTGCCCCACCCTCCCCCTCCCACCCCCCAGCTGCTAGGTCAGGAATTTAACACAGTGAATGATGGCCCAGGACGAGGTAACAGAGAGGTAGCTATAAATAAAAGGTCATTGAGCAGCTAGGGCACGGGTTAGGGTTTTAATCTTAGCTCTACCACCAAACTGCTATCCAGCACTGGGCAAGAAACTATTTCACTTCTCCAATCATCCATTTCAACTTCTATTTTATATTATCAGTTCACTGTCTCCTCTGCAGCCATAGGAAGGTGAAATTAGTTCATGGGCAAGACCCAGGTCACTGTTATATACACTCGAATCTCTTTTAGCCAGCATTAGGCCAGGTTCTGAGCTC